CGAGTCCCTCGACCGGGCCCGGCCGCGACTCTCCCTTTCTTTGGTCGCGAAAGTAAATTCTCCAGCCTGCCCTTTCGCCGCTCGTAAAATCGGTACCTTCGCGATCGTCGGCGCTATCGTTCGTCGACACGACGCGCACGCGATATGCCACGATTTACGGCAGATTTAAGTATAATGTTTCGCGCGCGCCCCGTATCGTACCCTCGCGCAAAAACTCCTTTTCAAATTGCATATCAGGTACGATCGAGTGTCGCGCGAGTGTACCAATCTTCCGGCGATGAATTATTCATTGTGTAAATAATTCATAAATCACTGGCGAGCGCCAACAAAGCCGCCCGGAGCAACCCCGATCGAAAGCTCAAAAACTGCCAGGCGAAATTTTTCAATGAATCATTACCGACGTCTCTTGGCGAAGCCCGTTGACGATCGGAACGATGTGCGGGCGGCTCTTTTTTTTTTCTTTCCATCTCGACGAGAAATCTATAGCTCTTGACGTTCAGCTCTGATCTGCTGTCTAAATTTCTTGGAATGAAACTTCACTCGAGAAGTGGAACGAAAAATTAGTGATGGTTGATTAATTTTAATCATTTGCTGATTATTTTGGGAAATTTTAATCGATGAACGCCCAACGTTGCTTTTCGCTCGTTTTGAGCGAGATTCTGTTCCAAGAAATTCAGAGAGCGAGTAAGCGGTATCTACTGCCCTTGAAACCACTCGTCTTCCATATTAAATGGAAACCATAGTTCTGTTACATCTGAATTTTCATGACTTCATCCATTTTGACATTATCTTTATAGAAAACGAAATATTGTAGAATTTCTATTATCGAATGTCTCACGTTATAATACTGACTAGAAATTTATCTCATAGTTCTAATCAGATTGATCCCAATCAGTTATCATCTGAATTTTTATGATTTCATCTATTTTGACATTATCTTCATAGAAAACGAAATATTGTAGAATTTCTATTATTGAATATCTCACGTCATAATACTGACTAGAAATTTATCCCATAGTTCTAATCAGGTTGATCCCAATCAGTTATCTGGTTTGTATAAGTTGATGTTATCGTATCCTAATCATTAAAAAGTTCTAATTATTAATAATCTTTATTGTTAATAAGGTCGTAATTGTCACACTGCGTTATATGACATGCTGCTTTTCATTCGAGAACATCACTTTAAACAAACCAGATAATTGATTAAGATCAACTTGATTAGGATAAATGTTCAGACAGAATAATCATGAAAGTCTATCTGAGCGACAAATTCATCCTTCTCGTTAAACTAAAAATTTTCTTTTAATTTATCCTCATTTCCCGCTTTAAACAGAACAGTGTCAGTGTAGAGATTTATATTAGAGATATTAGTCTATATTAGAGATTTATATTAGTATTGCGAAAAATAATTCCTTTTCTAGCTGAGAAAGTACTTTTCGTAACACTAAATCACTCGTAATATCCGTTCATTTTTAAAAGGATGTTGAAGTCGACGACAAACTCGAAAACGTCGATAATGCAGACACAATCGTTATCAACACAATCACGTTATCCTATTTATATTTCTTATACATAAGAACATAAATATGTATTGCTTTGTTTTACCATATTCAGCGGAAAACCTAACCAGGCATGTATAAAAATCTTTCTGCAAATTTTTCCGATATTCTTAAGCTTCCGAATTTAGATGCGAAAGTACAACAATGTTCTTAAAAATTTTTCTGCTTGGAGCATCTACCCTTTCGGTATGTACAAGCTGCGGAGCTTTTGGATTAGGCAAATACAATTGACAGCTTGAGACTTTACATTAAACATTTTTTTTTCGTTTTCGTCACAAATCGAGCAATGTTTCCACTTATTTTTGCACGTATTTTTGCGTTTATTGCGTAGAAGCATTTGTAATTCAACCAATACGTAAATTTTACAGAAAAATGTCAGTATTCCGTCGACAATGTTTTCAGCATCGCCTAAAGATGCACTAAGAAAAAAATACTTGAAAATTTATTTGTGGGCTTTACTAGAGTGAAATTTTTTTCTTATGGACAGAAACTTTGTATTCCAGACAAATTTTTGACCATCTTTCTCCGTGAGAGAAATAATGATAAATTATACACTGTAAAAACTGATGTGTTAAATTTAACATTTCATGTGTCTCGAATCATCCACTCTCATTTATGTGTAAATTTAATGCAAAACAAATATGGTAAAAAGTAATACGCATAATATGTAAAAAATTAACACAAGAATTTAACACTTGAATACCGTCAGAAATCACAGTTTGTTAAATTGACATATGTGTAATGTTGAATTAACTAAAATAAAACGTTAAACATTTGAGAGAAGTATTAATCTATGGTTTTGATGAAATGAAAATATTAAATTGACATAATCCATGTCGGACATATTAAATATGTCAATTTAACACAACCTGTGATTCCTAACGGTATTCAAGTGTTAAATTCTTGTGTTAATTTTTTCCATATTATGCGTGTCACTTTTTAACACGCCTGTTTCGTGTTAAATTTACACGTAAATGAGAGTGGATGATTTGGGACACATGAAACGTGTTAAATTAAGGCCCGATCTACAATAGATGGAGTAAGAAGTAGGAGTAAGAGTAAGACGAAATGGAAATAATTTATTTCCCTTGCTCCCTTACTCCGATAAAAGTTTGCCCGTCTACATCACATGGAGTAAGCCTGAATCAAGTAATAAGAGCTGGAGTAAGGAGCTGGAATAAGAGAGTAAACGAAACAAATTATTTTCATTTCGTTTTACTCCTACTCCTACTCCTTACTCCATCTATTGTAGGTCGGGCCTTAACAAATCAGTTTTTGCAGCGTAAGAAAGATTTGACGCGGGAAAGACGGATTCGTTGTGCCGCGCTTGAAAGAGTTACGAAGCGATCTTGACGCGTGCATTTGCACTGTCAAACAATGAAAACCTAACACGAGTGTCTTGCGATCGCCTCTAATTGTTCACTCGCTTGCGTTCTACGATCCGAGTCTTAAGAGCCATTTGATAATAAGATTCCTTCCCTTCTCCTTCTTCTCCCCCCGAGTGTCATGTTCCTCTCGTTCGACACCACGTGTCGGCCGCATACAGCAACAATAATAATAATAATTATTATAATTAATGCCGCGAACGAGACGCGTATACCGAGGAAGGGACGGAGGGTGAGTGACTTGCGGTATGGTGATACGCGCGTAGAAGGTCCCAGTGTCGGGGCCCCGTTAACATGCAACGCCCTACGACGTCCAGCACGCGCGAGGTGGAGCGACGGAAGACCGAACGCGGGAGGCTGGCGGTGCCGCGTCATCCTTCGCATGATTTGTACACGAGCAACGCCGCCCTCGCGCGTCCGATGGTACACCGCGCTCGGCCTGCTCGTTCGCCCTTTCCCTTTTTCCCCTTTCTTCTCTCGACGACGACGAGAGACGACGACGACGAGTGCCACCTCGGTACAGCGCGCGCGCGCGCTTGGTGCATAACATTCGGCGTGGTTGTACAAGGAGCAGCCCCCTCCCGGCCCGCGCCGATGGTCAGCGTCGATATTGTTCTCGCGCCGGAAATGTAAGCATCGAGAAGGGGTTGAAAGAGTTACGGCATCGACGCGATCTTTACGACTCTCCGACACACGCACACTCGTCGTCGTCGTCGTCGTCGGTGGATCTCGCTGCCTTCGAGACCTCTGAGACTCCGTCCACCGGAAATGTGCCCGAGTGTCGGACTTTAAGACTTCCGTCTCCACGACGAGAACATAAACGTCCTCGCAATCGAGGGGCGATTTTTACGTCGCAATGGAGAGCTTCGGAGCTCGTAGCTCGCGCAGAAGCCGCGGAGAGATCGAATTAACACTTTCTAATTTGACTCTTGTCCGAACTCTTATCCGTTTTATTGCAGTCGGACAAAGTTGCAAAAGCGACAGTATTTCTTGAACATATTTAAAGTACATTGAGTTTTAAAGTATATCGATTTTAAGTGATATATTGTAAGAAAAGGACGGTGGGCAAAACAGGCCTAAAATTTTAATCTTAAAAGCGTAGCGTAACGTAAAGGTATCAATTCCTGAACACGTACACTGAGAGAAATTATTCGATATGAAATTAACAAATGGATATTTCTGATCAAAATACCGAATTTTTGTATCCGATCAGGAAATATCCGATGAAAAATATCGGTTCATAATTTTTTGATCGGTTTATCTGCTGAAATGCCATTATGATCGGAAGTATTCGATTAATTTTGATTGGATATAAAAATTCATTAGTATTTTGATCGAAAATATCTATTTGTTAATTTTTTATCGGATATAAAATTTGTCTTAACGTACCTAATCTTGGACATCCTGTTGTTTTGGTTCCTGAGTGCGAATACTTAAACTTTTAACATGGAATGTATGTATATACTCAATACTTGTATATACATTTTATATATATATATATATATATATATATATATATATATATATATATATTTATAATATATTTTGTTTTGGTCTTTAAATACAAATATGTAAGTTTTTAACATATATATGTTAAAAGCTTAATTATTTGTATTTAAAGACCTAAACAAAAATAATGTCCAAGATTAGGTATGTGTTCTGGCATTGGTACTTTTACCTTAAATTATACACGTAATTTTACATTTTTTGATTCGCTGAATATGATAATACACTTTCATTCGTTTAAATCTATGAAGAAATGGTCAAAATTCGTCTTGTCAATTATTAAATTTACATCATGCAACAATGTAACCTTTTTGTTATATTAATGTAGCAACAAATTGATTGCTGAGCTACATTCACGACTTTCATATCATATTTTACATGACATATTGTTTTAAGCAAATTTTCATAATTCCATAATTTGTACCTCTTTCGTATTTTTCTTTCGTTGTTCTCTCATGTGTGTAATAAACATAAGTGCCGTATAAAAAGAAGAGCTACTGCAACACAATCCTAACAATTATTATACGAGTTCTCGTCATTCTGTCCCCAGCAGACGTCAGATCTGGACACTTTGCTGTGCAGGCAAGATCTCGATCGTCTACAGAAGCTGGACGAAGATGAGTCGGAGAGGGACGCGCGGGAGCAGTCGATGCACATGGAGGACTTCTTTGAGGTCGGCGGCCCGGTGTGCCGACCGCAGGCCAGCTTCGTCTCCGCCAGGAGTCAGCCGGCCGGCAACGACGACGACGTGTTCCTCAGGCCGCCGCTCTGGGAGGACATCACGTCGAGCATCCAGAAACTGGACCCGGAGAACGCGGACATGCTGGGCTCGCAGCCCCACGTGAAGATGGAGACGGACGAGGTGACGCCGCCGGTGCTGTCCCCGGTGGAGATCAAGACGGAGCCGTTGCCGCCACCGCCGACTTTGCACCTTCTCGAGGGGCCCGCCGCGAACCCCGCCGCGCAGAGCTTCTCGAGCGCGCACCCCAACCCCTCGAGCGTCCAGCACGTGGTCCATCATCGGACGACGACGACGACGGTGCTCTTCAAGAGCTACCCCAACAACAACAACAACAACAATAACAACAACAACAATACCAACAACAACAATAACAACAACAACAACAACAACAACGGGACCAACAACAACAGGGCGAGCAACGGCAGCAACGCCGGCAGCAACGGCAGCGGCAACGCCGTCAACGGTGCCAGCGGCAACAACAGCAACAGCAACGGCGGCGGCAGCAACAATGACTCGACGACGAGTCATCACGGCACCGCCGGCGGTCATCAGGCGAGTGGCAACGCGACGTCGCCGCTCTACGGCTCGATGACGAGGCTGATGTATATTTCGCCGCTGACGCCACCGATCTCCGACCCCGGCTCGCCCATCGGCGCCGGTCCACCTAGGCGGACGCCGCCACCCCCGTATCCCCAGCCGCCGATCCTGAATCCGGCCCACAGGATTCAGCCGCCGTCGATGAGCACCAGGTTCAACAGGCGGAACAATCCGGAACTGGAGAAGCGCCGGGTGCACCACTGCGACTTCATAGGTGAGAGCACTCTTGCTTGGCTTATTGTGACTGTACACTGGGCTGCAGAACGATTAAGCCGGCGGTTCTCTAAACTGTCAATACTGAGAGTCGTCGTCGCCGGACTTATGCGATAATAATATAATTAATAACATAATTAAAAACAATGAACGATAATAGATAATAACACGAAGTTTTGGGACAAACTGTCAAAATTGGGAGTCATTACCAACGGACTTACGCAATAATAATACAATAACATAATTAAGAACAGCGAATATAATAATAAGTAATAATATTAATAATAATTAATAATGACAATATTTCTAATAATAATAATAATAGTAAAAAAAATCAATAATTTAATTTCTGGAATGTAATTACTGGACAAGCCCATCACACAGTGTAGTGGCTCTGAATTTGGCAGTTTATTGAACTTCCGATTTCATTGTGTCTAAACCGTTACGCAACCCACTGTACACTCGACTGTGTTACTCGGACCGTTGAGGAAGCCCTCGCGAATGACGACAACGATGACGACGACGATGACGAACCTCCCCCTCGCCGAGGCTCAAGAACGAGATCGACGACGGGGTCTCGTCTGCGCCAATTTCGCCATTTAACTCTCCGCTCCCTTTCGCAGGTTGTACGAAAGTCTACACGAAGAGCTCGCATCTGAAGGCTCACCAGCGGATACACACCGGTGAGTGAGAACGCGTTTCAGCGAATCACATACGTTGTTGCTAACGCGAGCGTGCGGACGCTAGAATTAAGGGGAGGGGCCTGTGTGTATTCTCCGGTAATTAGGTATGTAGCTCATCTACGGAGCGAGACGAGGAGTTCGAAAGCGCGAGGTCGAGCACTCGGCGTGGGCAGGGCGCGGTCCCGAGTGTCTCTCTCTTCTTTCTCTCTCTCCCTCTCTCCCTCCCTCCCTCTCTCTCTCTCTCTCTCTCTCTCTCTCTCTTCCCCTCTTACCCTCCTCTTCGCTCTTCGTTTCCATCTCCACAACGTTTCTCTCCACGAGCACCGCGCGCGCGCGGTGTCGCGCAAAGGCGCTTCTATCATATGTAAACGTATAAGGGACGCATGAGAAGCTCGTGGTATGCGACTCTCCGCTTCGTAGAGCGAAGCTAGCGACCGACCCACATCCTATCCGTGTCCAAGCTCCGCCAACACACCGACACCGTCGGCACCAACACTGCCGCGTGGCTACCTGGGCGAACACGCATGCTGGGTTCCCACACGCGTCGGAGCGCACGCGAGAGCAAGAGAGGGAGACGAAGGAGAAAAAGCGGCAGAGAGAGAAAGACAGAGAGAGAGAGAGAGAGAGACGCAGAGTGGGAGATAGGTGGAGAAAGACGGAGAGAGATATGTGCTTTCCGCACACGTGCCTACGCGGCAGTCTCTCGCGGAATGCAAGCCGGAGGCATCTTAAGTGCGATGTACCACTTTCGAATTGATACCTCGGGTGCTTTTTGCGGTAAAACCCGTGTCATCGTCTGGAATCGATCGAAACGAGCGGCGCGTCGTGCAACAAACGGCGGAACGAATGGCGGGCAAACTCTGCGGGAAAAAAATTTGATGGAGTTAGATAAGAAACATCTATCTACACTCTGAGATATCTGAAAAATAAGAAGTATTTATTCGATGGCTCTACCGATAACATGTTCGCTCTCTTGTACCAATATACATATTTCTACGCATACATATTGAGAAAGTGCTTCCTTTCAAAACAGACAATATGTATTTTCCTAAAATACCATCTGCTCTTCTCACGAAAGCAACTGTTTATTCTGTTTTAACATAATTTAGATTTTTGCACACATATTATCTGTACCTACCGAAAATACATTTTTTATCTTTCAGACGTTTTTTCTTTATTAATGTAACTGATTTTTTTTGCCAAAAGTGGTAAAATCATATAGAAAAGCACATGTATTCCGATAATCGTTGAAAGTAAGTTACGATATAAAACGAAGGAAATTGATAATTTTTTTTTTATACGAGCCGAAGTGTGAGAAACAGAAATTTCCGGTAGAGAAATGATAAGTCCAGATAAAGTCACATAGTATTCCAATTGTATATATTTCCATCGAACCTTATCGGATTTTTTAAGCAGAGAGATCGATGGCACTTCCTCCTCTTTCTGCTCCACACTAAGGAAAGAGAGTGTTGAAAATTTATTCGCGCGGGATGTAAAGTTCATTCCGGCGAAGTGAAGTTAGTTTCCACTCGACCTGTAATAAAGTCAGTTTTTGCAGAAAAGTTAATTTCTGAATAAACTTTACATCTCGCGAGCAAATTTTCAAGTATCTTCTCAGAGTGCGCTTCCTCCTCCCCCACCTCTTCCTCTCTTCCTGTCGCCGCTCGCGTAATGCGCAATACCGTGCGGTGACGGCTGAATTAATTCGCCACCCGCTACGCCGCGACTTCTACGAGAGCTGACGTGTCCGCCGACCAGTTCTTGCGACATTCCGTCGCAGATCCGCTGAAAAGCGTCGATCGGTTTCGCGGGATTGCGCCGGGGATATTTCAATTTGTCGCGAGCGCGTACACGCCGCCGGGACACGGGGAGAACACGCTCCGCGACGCGGAGGATTCCGAAGGGGGCACGTGGCCCCTCCCCCTCCTTCCCCGAGTCTGTCTGTCTGTCTGTCGGTCGGTCGGTCGGTCGGTCGGTCGGTCGATCGGTCGTCGGCTCGTGAATGAACCCTCGGCGGCGCGCGCGCGCGCGCACGTCGAGCCAGCGAACGGCATGCCCAGAGATGTAAAATTCAATCGTGACGATTACTCAGTTACATTAATAGAAGAGAAACATCTGAAAGGTAAAAAATCTATTTTCCGTAGTTACAGTTAATATGCGTGCCAAAGTCCAAATTTTGCTAGAACAGAATAAAGTACAATAATTTTGCTAGAACAGAATAAAGAATACAGTTTGTATCTAAAGTTTTTTTTTTTTTTTTCTGTAATTTTTTCTAAGTTACCATTTTACCAGTTTTTCGAAATCACCGAATGATTTGGCATAATTTTCCGAGTAAAAAAAGTCAGCTGTGAAATTGGGTCATTTTCATCCGTAAGCATGTCGTTAACGGTGACTTCGTTAACTCATTAGTAATGTTGCCGCGAAAATCAAAGAGGCGCGACATTAATACGTGTAATTCATCGATTTAATAATGCGGGAATAATATGATAATAATAATTAATGCACGACTAATGCGACGCGGTGCGCGACCCGCGCGGATACGTAAAAGTCCGACCAATTATACGCATAATATAACGTCGATATCATGAATAATGCAAATTATCACGAGTCGAGATACAACTTTTACTACATCCCGATCGAGTCCCCGTCGCGTTCTCGCGTCGCAGGTTTCTTTCTCGCGGAACGGCGAGGCGTCGCGCCGACTTTCGGAATCCTCTTAGCGTTATGATTAATCGTAGCCGCTCTCGGCCGCGTTATCGCTAATCGTATACGATGTTAATTGACCGCGCTCCACGCGAGAAAGCACCGTCGTCGGTGGCTCCGAAGAAATCTGGAGCAAAGTAGGGCTAGGAAGCGTATTTGGAAAGCAACTTGTCCGAGCGGAGCGCGCCACGGGTGAAAGTGATCCAAAATTAACGGGGACGCCTGGAGGCTCGTAGGTGTCGCCCGGCTGATCGACTCCGGCAGACTCCGACGTCGCACCTCATGCAGAAACACGTCGGTTAACGCAATATCTTTCGTCTCTCTTCTCTCTTTCTTTCTCTCTCGTGCGCGCGCGCGCGCGCGCAACCTTGCGATACCGCAAACCGAAGAATTCGAGAAATGACGCCTGCAATCTCGCGGCACGGAGGTGAGGATGTTCGGCTGCGATTTCCCGCTAAGGAGAACTCGAGGAATTTTCTTCTACATAAAAAATACACTTCAGCAAGTACGAGGAGTCTTAATGAACACATTGACAGCCGGCGGGATAAATTGTATGTACTTTCTGCAGATTTTTGCGCCGTTCTGTCGATTGGCTAAAGTTATGTAGACTATAATATCGATGAGAAAAACGAGTGTTCAGCTTGCTTTTCTTCTTTCAAACAACGATTATCCTCCACTATTAAGAATATTCTCTTAATAGTGAACTTAAGACATACTCGTCACAAATTTTGATGGACTCGCAATGCGTGACAATTAATCCTCCTTAATTTGAGTCAACTCAGCCTGAATGGTCATTTGAATTAAAACATATTGTATTCATAAATTATGTTCCAGTAAATTTTACCGAAGTGCAAGAAAAAAATTAATTGGAACCATAACATTTCTCAGAACTAAAGAGAGATTGCGACCAGAGAATTCCAAAACCAATGGATCAATAAAAATAGAGACAAGAATAAACTTGCTCAATCGCGTCCAATGTTGAAAAAATGCTAGTAAATACCACATGCGAAGTTCATGCCGTAAGCCGTTACACTCAGCTGACGTGATACAAGCAACTCATACTATAGAGGAGGATACACTCCTCCATTTGTTACGTGAGATATAAGCTCTGCGACAACTGACCCGTGTGACTTCCAGAGACCCGGTCTCCCCTATACCCAAACCCCGTCTGAAAGTGCAAACTTTGTGGAGAGCAAGCACGAGAGAAAGATTACTCTCGCCCTACGACTGTGTCCTCTTTCGACTGTCAACTCAAAGAGTCGAACGAGAACGAGTCAGTCGAGCTGCGGGAGACGAAAGAAGGGAAACTCGGGCGAAAAGCAAGCAAGCAAGCAAGCAAGCAAGCAAGCAAGCAAGCAAGCAAGCAGCAGATCGCTCGTTCTCTCTCGCCGAGGTAGGCGAGCGAGCGCGCGCTCGCCGCAGATCCGCGGGTGGAATTCTCACGAACGCGCGATACCGTGAATGGATGGTGCTCGTGGTAGTAGTACCGTTCCTTGTGGGCCGTGCGTCGCGTGGCGGCGCGATGCAGCGCGATGCAACTCGCCGCGGTGCAACTCTCGGTCCGGCCCGGCGCGGCGCAGGGCGGCGGCGAAGACCGGTTAGGGTCGTCTCCGTATAGCGCGAGAGGGACAAGAACGAGCTAGGAGGATGCGTGGGTGTATCTCTCAGCTATCGAGTTCTTTCTTCTCCTCTCCTGTTGGCGCTGTTCGCCCTCCGCACACTCTCCCCGTTTCCTTTCTCTCTCTCCTTCCCTCTCTCTCTTTCTCTCTCTCTCTCTCTCTCTCTCTCTCCCTCTCCCTCCCTCCCCCTCTCTATCTATCTTTCTCTATCTTCTTCTTTCTCTCGTCGATCCCACCTCGATCGCCTTTGCTCGCACGCGCTCGCTCGCGAGAAGATCTTTCCTCGCGATCGAATTCGCGAAGACGGGTCGAAGAGGCAACGCTCGATGCAGGCGGAACGGCGTGTGAGTTTAGAAAGGGTCGAGTCTGTAATTTGTAAGGTGCACTCCGGAGACGATGTGGTGAGTCTAAAACGGGGACCCTACGGGCCGCGGACTTCTGCTGGAGACTTCTCTGGAGTCTTCGAAGACTTCAGAGATCTTTCGAATCTACACGGAAAAAGAGAACAGTATGGTTGGCCCGCACATGAGCTTGCTTATGCCAACTGGATTCGATAGTAAAATATTGAACGACTAATTATGTGGTCGCTCCAATCACTGAGCAATTGGCAGTTATTGGCTGAGTTATTGGCAGTTGCAACAATGACGATACTTGGTTGCTCCAAGTGGAATGTATCCACAGCAAATGTCACCTAAACCCATCTCTAGTTGCTACAATCAGATCACGCGCGACTATTTTGATGTAGTTGACGTATCAAAGTAACTGAGTCACATATCCTGGCACAGAATATAACGAATTTTTGTGTATTATGGATTGGGCAGTGAAGTCTTACTTCCATGCGTCAAAATCAGAGAGATATAAGATGGAGCAGTAAAGTAGAAGAATTTCCACTGAGAATCGATGAATATTCACTGATTGTCGCAGTGAACTACTCTTCTTGCTGATTCAATCAAGAACATTTTCACTGATTCACCTTAAGAGAGTATAACTAGCCTACAAATCTGGTTATGCCAACCAGATTCCACAGTGAAATACGAAACAACTAATTACGCGATTGCTGCAACTACTGAGCAATTACCGAGTTACTGGCGTTGCAGCAGTGACAATATCTGATTGCTCCAACCAGAACGTATCCACGGTAAATGGTTCCTCAATCGATTTCTAGTTGCCACAACCAGATCACGCGCTACATTGATGTAGCTGATGCACCAAACTGGATCATACACGTCACATCAACCATACACACGACCATCGTACAAAGATACTTAGGCTGTGATGCAGCTCACAGCTAAATCTTCCTGGCTATGTGCACCACATGTTTTTTCTTCCCGTGTACCTTACAACACAATGTCGCTGCGGGGGATCTCGCGAATTCGCGGACTCGCTTCACGAGCCGAACGCTCGTGACGTGTGATATGCTCGCGTGATTCGCGCGCGCACGGCCTCTTAATCGGCCGTCGTTCGTGAGGGCTAAATGCGCCATGAGCATAATAACAATAAGGAAGGTGCATTCTCCGATAATCGGCCGAAGCCGAGCGGAATGCGGGCATGTTGGCTCGCATTAGTCGTTGCGCATTCGGCCTGCTCGCGCTCGCGCGGTCCGGCCGGCGCGATTGCGCTAGAATACAGGTGAGCGTGTTGCGGCATGCAGGTACAGTTAAAGGTCACACCGCTGCATCTCTCGCAGCTGAGAGAGGCGCGAGAGGGTATATATACCCAGTATACCACATCCCGTAGCTATCTCGCAAAGAGCAGTGCTTTGTTCTCTAATAGGTCGCCGTTCTCGAAACTCGGACGGAATTCTTCTCGCTCGGGACGTCGCTCGAGTCGCGCGCTCTGGAGCGATCGTGCGCGTAAGGAGAGAGAAAAATATCGACTTCGAGTCATCAGAAAGCGTCCTCAGAAGAACGATCGTCTGCGACCGACCCTTCAGTAGACGCGGGCGCTCCTCACCTTACCTTAGGCACCTGATCGGCCATTGTAGATATATATTCTGCATTCAAGATTATATATATTTATATATTATATATATTTATATATATTTATATATATATATATTATATATATATTTTTGTTGAAAATATATATAATATAAACAATAGACTACCTAGATAGACAACAAGTGTACACGAGTTTCTACCAAATTTACGTACACTGAGAGAAAAAATGTCTATAAAACGGGAAATATTTATTAGGTAATAACGTATTGAGATCCCTCTGTACTGGTATAAAATATTTTTCAAATAAGAAAATATTCGTTTCCTTAAAACCTTAGTTTCTCGTGAGAGCAATTGTTTATTCTATTTATATGAAAAAATTTAGATTTAAGTAAATATGTTATTATTTAGTACCTATCAACTAAATATTATTTTTTAGATATTTTTTCTCTCAGTGTAATAATTCAAGTATACGTAAATTTGGCAGCAACTATTCATCACATAAATTGAAATAGAAACACGAAGAAAACGGTCAAAGTTTGCTCAAACGATATGGTAACACAAAGCAAAGTTTACCTGGGTATGTATATTTCAAAAAACGATATATCTTTGACTAGTATTATACAGCCTCGGAATTACACTTGCGGAGCATGCGTCGTAATGAAGGGTTAATCCCTCGAATGTCACTTTCTCGCGATATATAAGTCGCTTCCTTGATCTCCTTTCCTCAAATCCCCTACAGTCAGGCCGTTTGACACACGGCCGTCTACTTCAGACTGCGCTCTCACCGGCTACCATCGACGATAAGGAAGTTTCGGTTTCGTCGTATCTGAGGCCAAGCAGAGTACTTGAGAGCGTATTAGTTTTATCGCTGACAAAACATCACGTCGTCCTAGTTACCTGAAGCTCTCGATTGCTCCACTCGGCTTCTCACAAAGGATCGGCAGCGAGCGAGAAGTTCATAAGTTTATACTTTTGCCAGTCTTATAGAGTACAGTTACGTAACTGACATATACGCCGAACGCGCTGTACAGAGGTGTAAAAATTATTGGAACAATCTTTATTTCTTTATTCATTTTGTCTAATTATTACTTTCAATAAATTTCAGGAAATATTATAATTTGTCATCGATATTCTTTGTAGATTTACAATCAGATAATATTGGGATAATCTTGATTTCTTTATTCATTTTGTCTAATTGTTCTTTTCAATAAATGCATAATTTCAAGAAATATTACCAATAATTCTGATATATATATATCAATATTCCTTGTAAGTTTGAAATTATTACAGGTTCATATTGACTAAATCATATAAATAATGACGGATACATCATATATAATATTAGATTCTATTGTGAGATATATTTTGCATGTAAAAATAAATTAAATAGAAAATAATGAGTGACTTATACACTGAGAAAAAATACTTGAAAATTTATTTTAGCGAAAGTTTATTTCTATGAAATAATCCGTCATTTTGTACAATTTAGTCGTTTTGTACAATATAAATCTATAATCATTTTAAGCCTACAAGGGATATTGATACATAATAAATTGCAATATATTCCCTGAAATCGGGCATTCATTGAAAGGAACACTTAGAGAAAATTGATAAAGGAATCGATATCGCTCTAATAATTTTCCCGCCTCTGTAATTGCAACTAATAACGCGTCGCCTCTTGACGACGCGTTCGCGCTCGGAGGTCGAACCCGTGTGCGTGCGCGTACTCATCCACGTTTCTCCGTTGGCTGTTTCAGGCGAGAAACCGTATCAGTGTCAATGGGCGGAATGCGAGTGGCGATTCGCCAGGAGCGACGAATTGACGCGGCACTACCGCAAGCACACCGGGGCTAAGCCCTTTAAATGCGCGGTCTGCGAGCGCTCCTTCGCCAGGAGCGATCATCTCGCGCTGCACATGAAGCGGCACCTCCCGAAGCAGCACACCAAGTGAGGAGAGTGAAAGACGGAGGGAAAGAGAGAGCTCTCCTCTTCGCGTCCCGTTCGTTCGTCCGTTTCGTTCTCTCGACTACCTGCGTTGGACGCGCCGTTGTTTTCGCCATTCAGGCTTCGAGGCGCGGTGCTTTCAGTCGAGTCTGTCAGCCTGGAGAACGCCGAGAAAGTGCGGTAATGGAAATTACGAAATAGTCTCTTCAGCGATAATAATATCCGACGATTTTAATTTATGTCGGACCATTTTGGCGAATTATATTTTTCGTGTGTTTTTTTATTGTGCATCTGACAGCTTGATGTGTCTTTTTGTTTTCTCTTTCCCGAGAATTTCGAAAATATTTCTCGTTCCTATCATTTCAAAATTAATCGAAATCATTTTGAATCATTTCGAAATCTTCCAGGAAGAAATAATAATTTCTCTCGTTTCTTCATATATATGATATATATTAATTATTAATTAACTATATATATTAATTAATTATATACATAGATCATATATATATATATATATATATATATATATATATATATAATTAAAAATCTTGTATACAAATGTTACAATTTTGACTTTCAATGTAAAATATTTTTTTATTTTATTTCAATGTAAAATTCATATTACAGATATGTTATTATTTTTGTGATTGCACCTGTTAAAAAAATATATATATATATATATATATATATATATATATATATAATTAACATTTTTTTACAGTGTACGAAAAAAAATTATTTTCCTCTCGTAGAATAATAATAAGAAATGATAAGAATGAGAAATATTTCCGAAATTCCTAAAAGATGGAAACAAAAAAATACATCAAGCCTTCAGATGTATAATAAACAAAAAAAAACGAAAAATATATTAGAAACACATCAAAAGCCAAGAAGAACTAACATTAGTTATTATTCACAATTATGACACATTAAGTTTAATCTTCATTGATTAAACATCAAATAACCTTTACGAGTCAATTTCAAGTTTTCAAAATTGTGTTTGAACATAATAATGCGTGATGGATCTCGTTTACGACACTGAGTGTCTTCGCGAGTCTACGTTAGAAATGTTGTTCCGCTGAATTTTGAGAAAATCGCGGACTTACGTTGTTCTCCAGCCGAGCACTCGGCCGAAATCACGCCGGGCTCGCGTTCGTTCCTGCGCGATCGAATTCGCTACGACGTCTCCTTCGACAGGATCTCGCCGAGGTTTCGGGCCTGATTCCGGCATAATCGTCGGTCCCGATTCCGCGCGATATATCGGCGGAGCATCGATCGAGCGAGCGCCGTCCTGACTCGATGGCTTCGGTTACGCTCACCATCGGTTAAGCGATTATGACGAAACACATCCTCGGTGTGGGTGGTGGTCGCGAGGAAATATTTCGTCATAGCGCTTGTACGCTCACGGACAGCCGCGAAGGAGAGAGAAAGAGAGACATTACGATCTCCGTTCAATAAGTATCGTTCGTACTTCACACTGAGATGGATCCGAGCCGTCGGGTCGCACGACGGAGAGAAGTGAAGCTAATGCTCGTGGAAGGTAAAAGCGGAGGTGTTCGTTTCAAAGATCCGTATTAACAAGCTCGCTTTTACCGCGAAACCTTTTACCTCTGCTCTGCCTTTCGAAGTTACCTACGCGAATATAATATATACATCCCGAAAAGTATAATCTCATCCTTGGCGGAATCCTCGGACTCTTGGAGGATTTTAACGTTATATACACGGAGAGAATATTGCAGTTTCTTTTTTCATATAAATTCTTTTTAATTCTACTATATTTCTCTAGCATGTCGGCAAGTTTTATCTTGCTAAAGAATATGATAAATTTTGCAATAGCAAACTTTTTAACAACAAATTTCAGTTCCTGAAATATGAAATGAAAGGATAATGAATGACTGCAGAATGTCGATTTATTTCTTGGCTAAAAGATTCTGTAATAATTTTTATCATAAAAATTTTATCATGAAATTATTATTATAAAACTCTCTCCGTGTATGTGGTCTCAAGAAGATGTCAGAATTATTCTTTTAAAATCTAAATTCTTCAGGTTTGCATTTTTTACATTCTTTTAATCAGTTTAATTATTTCTTTTTCTTTTTCATATATATATTTTTTTATATATTTTTTCTGATTATGTATTACACAGAGTGAATAATCATCTAATGTTAGATTTTAAAATTTCTGTTGTTTTTTTATATCAGAGGAAAATGCATAAGAAATAAATTGTGTGGTGGGATGTTTTGCTGATCAAGTTATTTCTTCCAACCGCGCAATTTATTCCTTACATTTTCCCCAAACATAAAGAAACAACAAAAATATTGTAGAATCTAACGGTAGATGATATAACCTATATACGTCCTTTTTCTACAGTCAAGAAGGTTTACGCACAAAAAAAAGAAGTCTCGCGAAAGATCGTGCCTCTACGAAGTTTTCTGGGACACCTACATTCTCCAGATTTCTTTATTCGCACTTTCCCGCGGCATTCGCCGCGAATTCCTATTTATCGCAACGGCTGTCTCAACTCGAAACGCAAAGCAGAGGGAGAGAGAGAGAGAGAGAAAGAGAGACACCCTACTATCCTTATCCACATTTTTCGCAGTGGCCCTGTCGATAACCGAAAGGGGAGAGGTGGTGTTTGCTTCACTTGACTCTCGTACGACCTGTCGGCTCGCGCGGCGTCCTTTCGCGAAAATGATTTGCCAGATTAAAGCGCCGCGCGCTATCGCGAAATTATCGCTATCTCGGCCGCGACTTGGCTGCACACAGCTCGAGATATCCTGTTTGGCGTGTAAACGATCACACGTTGGCACGTCGCTCGTGCTTAAAGTCGTAGCTTAATCCGCGTCTCCGCGCCGTGTCATTTCGATAGTCGTCGTCGTCGTCGTCGTCGCTAACGCGAAATTCACCGCGTAGCCGTGAGCCGATATTTACCGAGCCTCGATAGCAGAAACAGATAGATAGAGAGCGAGTATCACGCTTCGCCGTTATCACGTCCGTGTGAGAAACGGACGATATCGTGATGCCTTATGTACAAATTCGCGTAGAGTCTCTTGAGAGAGAGAGAGAGAGAGAGAGAGAGAGAGAGAAAGAGAGATAAGGTGTCGACGGTCGACGTGCGCGTGTGTGTGTATGTGCGCGCGTACATATGGAAACGCGGGGAGAATATTATAGTAAAAATTACTGTACACAATTACTGTATAGAAAAATAATTTGCTGGCTCAGCAAATTTTCTGCTGGTCTAGCAAAATTTTTTCGTTATTATATGGACAGCAAAAAGATTTGCTAAGAGTACTAATCACTATTTGCTGGATATAATTTGCTGAATCTACAAATTATTTTGATGTAAGAAGCATAATGGATTTATATAAACAGTTGCAGTTTTGCTTCGACAGCAAGTAAATTTGTTAAGGACACATTATTTTGCATCGATAGCAAATTATCCTGGCAACGAAACTACTTTTGCTCTGATAACGAATAATTTGTAAAATTAATAAGTCAACTAAATTTTTTTACTGTCACTACGAATATGCAGTAGCAACGACGATTTTGCTAGAAGAGCAAAATTATTATTTTCCATGTAGAATTTTGTGACCCAGGAATAAACCGATTCTCTGTCATAACCGACTGTCCTTTCATGTTACTCGGAGGAAACGAGTTCGTTAGTAAGTGAAGTAGTAACTGATTTTCTGTTATTTGAAGATCAGATATGAAAAACTTGGTTATAGGAACACGAAGATTCCTGCAAGAGATTTCTACTCAGCGTCAATTACTGCTCTCAGTTACCTTAGCCGCGTTTTAATGTAGCTGAACGTTTAGACGAGTGTTTCCGGTCGCAGTAACAGAGATATTATTTTCAGCGAGTTTTTCGTCTGGTCCTCATTCAACTACACGAATCGAACGTTTCAGGAAATGAAACGTGCTGTAAGAAAATTTACTACATTTGTAGCGGAAGAGTGCGATCAAGTGCCTAGATCAAGTGCCTAGATCAAGTGCCTAGATTAGTGGCCCACTTTATTTGGAAAGAAGTTTTGAATCCAGATTGTTCTTATTTTATAGTTTTTTACGCGGAATATGCAAGTGTGTCTCAAGATGAACAGACATGTCATTCCAGAGAAGATGATTCATTTAAAATTGTACTCCGCTAGATGTCACTTATTTTCACAAATAAAAAATAAAGCTATGGCAATTTGCAATGACGAGATATTCAGCAAGTCGCAGCGACAGTTTCAAGCGTTATTCTTGAAAAAAAGATAACCGAATTGACTCTTAAAAGCGTCTGACGGATTCTGGTGGATTCTTAGGCAGTTAGCACGGCCAAATTGGATCAGTTGACTCGTTGATTGTATTTTAAAATCATCAGAGTAAGATCAAACGCAAGCTGTCAGGAAACAAATTGAAATCAATATTTTTATTTTGTGAAAATAAACAGCGCCATCTAGTGGGGCGCAATTTTAAGTGGACCACTTTCTCTGGAGCGGCACGTCGATGGGACTTGCATATTCGTAGTCGAACTCGCAATCGATTTGACGCGCCAAAAACTACAAAATAAGACCGACTTGTATTCAAAGCTCTTTCCTTAACCCATTAAGGCCCAAGAGAAAACCGCTAAAGATAGGCTTTCAAAAATCATCTAAATTAGGGCAAAACGTCGAAATTTGTTAAAAAGTGAAAAAAAATTTGTGTTGGATTTCAAAATTCGATACGTCGGCCTGAAAATTTGAAATTTTGACCTATTTGAGTGAAAATCCATATAGAGGGGGTTTGGAGTTCGCTGAGCATGAATATGCACTTATTTTTTCAAAATTCGTAATGGCGGATCCAATATGGCTGCCTAAAAATGCGAAAATTTGACATAGTTTTGTTGTTTGGCGAAAAATCCAACCAAATTATAAGCTACCTTTCAAAGGTGTTTGTTTTGGGGCAAAACATTATATTTTAGCAGACTGTAGAAGAAAAATGGTTTTTTGACTTTAAAAATCAATATGGCTGCCAAAAATTTTTAATTTTGATTTATTTCAATGAAAGTACGTTTTGAAAAATTTAAAAAAAATAAGTGCATATTCATACTCAGCGAACCTAAAACCTCCCCTATACGGATTTTCACTCAAATAGGTCAAAATTTCAAATTTTTTGGTCGACATATTGGTCCACCATTTTGAATTTTGAAATTCAACACAAATTTTTTTTTCAAAACTTTTTAACAAATTTCGACGTTCTGCCCTAATTTAGATGGTTTTTGAACGCTTATCCTTAGCGGCTTTCTCTTCGGCCTTAATGGGTTAATAAGGCGGGCCGCACACTTTACCATGTGCCTTAGCAACAATAAACATAGTTAGATCGAGAAAAAGATATTTTCGCGAAAAGAAACTGCAATATCCTCCTCCGTGTACGTGCGTGCGCGCGTGCGTGCGTGTGCGAGTGTTTCGCGAATGTTTGCCGTCCCCCGTGCGTGCTATATGCGAGTGTGTATATTTATA